ATGCCCATTCTTAAAAGAATATCTTGCATTGCTTTTATGGTGCCTTCGTGTTGAGTATTTAGCATGACAGTAGGCCCATCGGTCGGTGGGTTCCCAAGTGTAGACTGATGAGTTGAAACTTGGGGTACATGTTGGCCTGCATGGGCCTGAGATTGATGAGCCGCAGTCACCGGGATGGTTTGATACATTTGTGTCTGAGGGGTGTACTGATCCAAAGGCGTCGCCACCAGTTGCAAAATTGCACGGTTTGTTGGACCGGGTGAACTACAGGCACCGATTGAAGAATCAGTTGATTCGGTTGTGCTAGGGGTTGACCTATACCACTAAGTTGGTTTGGGATCGACTCATAAGCTGGGGCATGAACGGTGTAACCTAGGTCAACTAGACTTTTAAGGGAAGCATGGACGCCCATCTCGCTTAAGGGTTAGTTTATATTGACACATCTGCTTCGTACAATGTTCAGGTCATCGCGAGCTATACTATGGTGGCTCGAAGTTGGGTTAGATCACTTAGACCTAGGTGGGTCTTGGTTTTGAGATCGTTGCGCCTCGGGGTTATCTTGGTTCGAGTTATGGGAATTGGCGTTTGATACTACATGAATTCTTCCCTCACTCGGCTCCTAATTTGGTTGCTTAAAAGCCCTTGTAGGACGATGCCCGGTTGGACCCCTTGACTATACATAGTTTTTCGGCCGGAGCCGACTTTTCGGACCACACAAATTTTAGGATTATGTGTAGACCCTTGGGACTCTTCCTTTAATTGAAGACCTGGCGTTTGAAGATATTTTTCAGCACCTTGGTCCCCCGGTCAGTAAAACCCTGACAAAACAATGGAAATTTCGATAATCTCATAATAGCCCCAAAACTAGCCAAGATCTTCACAAAGATTCTCAAAAGTATCTTGCCAAGTTTTGTCGCATTCCGACATGTCTAAGGCAGTACAGACTGAGAAACAGTTTCGGCAGAATCAGTCTCTTGACCCTGAAACGGACCCTATAAGTATACCTATATTTTCTGTGTCTCAATTTACTATGGGACCACCACCATTGGATCCGATACGGTTGAAAAACCCCAAGGTCAAATTTTATCTTAAGTAGACATTCTAAGAAGAAGTTATCAACAAAATAGTGAAACAGGAGGAGCTGCACGCTATTCCCGTGTGGCCACCTAGCAAGTCAACCCATTAAAGGGGCAGTCACAATTAGTAACTTTCAACGCTTATATCTCCCTCGTCCAAGTTCGGATCGCACTAAAAATTGATGGAACGTGTTCGTCTCATCGAGACAAGCGTTTCGATATGTGGCACGCCCCACGACGACTCTCAAGCACGAAGAAAAACTAGAGATAATTGTTGATCCGTAAAGAAAGTACAGGAAAATCAACAGTGTTGTGCCTCGCTCGAGCGACCAAATCACAACGCTCGCGAGCCCGATCGACGTGAAAATAGTTCCGTCGTGTGCGTAAGGTTTAGAGTTATCTCTAGTCCGAACCTCATGCACGATGAACGGTCGGATTCCACACACAAAGTCAACGAAGTGACAACAAATTTAATCGCCGGAATTCCAGATTCCGGCCAAAACTCTAAAGTTACAAAATCTTCGTCCAGGCACGGAATCGAGCTGCGTTTGTTGCCCCACGATCGTGACCGCATGCTCAGTGTGTTCCAACGAAGAAATCACAGAAAAACATCAAGGAACGAGAACACAATCAATCCAAAATTTCAAGATTCATTCAAATTTCAAGTCACATGATCGTGCCCTAAAAGCACGATCCATAGCTCGAAGTTTGTATCAAATCAATCGTCATGCCGAGCTCTACAAGAAAACAATCTTTCGATCAAACGGGCATCAGAATGACCCCGTATCGTCCGTGAAAGATCACATAAGTTCTAAAGCAGTACAGGGACTGTTTTGAAATTCCACAAATTGTTGGAAGGGATAAATCTATCATTTTGTACCTTATTTTCTAATTTCTTTTAATTCAATTAAATATTAATTTCCAACAATTAAGTTTAATTTTGATCATCCACCCATGTTTGGGCACAACACTATCTAAACAACGTACCACCATTGTATGCAGACCTTTCACTAGCTTAATAAAATTTTTATCTTGCCTATTGTTGGGTCACATCTTGGGAAAGAGAGGAATGAGAGACAAACTTTTGGGTCAGTACCCCTAAGATTATCTCCTTCTCTCTCTTTCTCTCTCCTCTTTCATAGATGACGGAAGCCTATCGCCCGTATGTGCTTTTCACTCTTTTTTCTTCTCTTCTTCTCTCCTTCCCTCTCTATGGTCCCTCATGACCACCTTTCCCTTCTATCTCCTGGTGGTCCCTCAGGTCCACCTATCTTCTTCCTGTGTTCACCCTTGGGCTCAACTGCCTCTCCTTTTTCTCGTAGTCCCTTGTATGCGTTTTCCTTTCCTTTCTTTTTTTATACTCCCTCATAGCACCCTTTTTGGTGCACCCTCGTCGTGTCTCCCTCTCTTTCACGTCCGATGTTCCCGTGAGACCATCGTGCCCCAAATCCTTCTTACCCTAACGCCGAGCGAATCTCGAATCCCCTCCCATCGCCGTGCGACCCTCCAACCCATCGCCCACCGTGTGCCCTTTGCTTAACCTTATCCTCGTGTGCCCCTTTCCTACCCGCATCGCCGCACGCCTGTACTCTTCCCAACTCCACTGCCGTCTCGTTGCTCCCATCCCTTTTCTCTATCTCAACCCACTGTTGTGCACCAACAGCCCCATCTTTCCCTACCATCTCACGCCCTCACCTTTGCCACCAACCGCTAGCTGCCAAAGCTGCGCCACTCTCCGGTGCTCTTCTTCCCTTGCTGCCACCTATTGTCCCCCTTTCTTCTCAGCTGTCCTGTTCTCTCCCTGTGCTCCCCCACGTCCACCTTCGTGCGGTGCGCCATTATCTCAGCCACCCTTCCCTCTCCTCTTCACTGCTCCTGATTCTCCACTCCACCATCTTGTTTCAACCTGCAACAACTTACAATCGCAACACCTAAGTCCATCCAGCAGCCACCCCTTTCATTCACTGCTTTCTCTCTGCCACTTGCAGCAATCTCCACCTCTCCTACATCCACCATCCTTTGCTCCAAACTCCACCTATCTTTTGCCGCACCGTTCCTCTTCCTTGCAACCTCGCCCAGCCACCTTGCAGCTGCAACCATCAACCACCCGTGCACTTTCTTCCTCCTCCTCCAATGTCGCCCTGCTCTTAGCAATCTTCCCCTCTCTACTTCTTCTGCTCTGTCACCGCCCCCTTTCTCTCTGTTGCACCACCATTTCCGCCACCTTACAGCTACCTCCGCCACACCAATTTCTCTGCCCCTCTTTCTATCCACCTAATCCTCTGCTGCGAGCCTTTCTCTTCACCATCCTGCTCGTTGTCCTTCTCTTCACCCACGACCATCATCCCTGGCGTACCCATCAGCAACCTACCCAGCAACTTTCGCAGCCATCTCCTCGATCACCCGACCTCTGCTGAATTTCTGTAAACTCCCACTTTCCTCACTGCGTTCTCTCTCTCTAAAAAAAACCCACAAAAGAAACATCCACTTCCACCTTTTGTTCTTTTCGTTTCGTTTTTTCCCGTTTTCTCTCGTCAAAGTTTCGTCACTTCGTCCAAGTTGAAAACTCTCTCCTCAATAAGTTTTCTCTTTCTTCTTTTCTCTAATGGTTTCACTCTTTCATTCAAATAAAAAAACCCCATACATTAGCTCTCTTCCTTTCGCTCAATTCAACGATAACCCATTTGTTTAAGATTTATTTTATTAAAAGCCTCCTCTCTTTCTCCCTCTTATCTAATTCATATGTTTTATTTTATTAAAACATCCATTCTTTTTTTAAAAAAAAAACTACCTCATGTCATTTCTTTTTCCCATTTGTCTTTATGTTATTCCACTTTAATCCGTTCTCTTAATTTCATTTTATTTCACTCATCTTATTTTAACTTACTCTATTTTCATTTAATTATTTTATTTTAATCATCTCTTCTTATTTTATTTTCTTCCATCTCTTATATTTTATTTTACTTTACTCTATTTTAATTTATTCATTTTATTTTGCTTTATTCACCACTTTCGTTTTATTTTCCCCATCTTATTTTATTTTATTTTCTTTTATCCCTCTTATTTTATTTTCTTTTACTTCATTTTATTTTAATTCATTTTATTCTTATTTCATCCTAACTCTATCTTCTAATCTTATTTTATTTTCAATTCATCTCTTTCATTTTCATTTCATCTCATTCCACTTTACTTTTCATTTCACTCCACTTTATTTTATTTTATCTTCGACAAGTCAGGGTCCCAGACCCACTTGCTGGGATGTCTTATGTGTGTGTATTTGCAGAAAAGGAGAAACAGGTCAAGGGAGACAATTTCAAAGTGGCCATAGGCCAGAGGGTCTTTCCAACGTGATCTAAGAGGGCGCCCACGCGAGCCAGCTCGAGTGTGTCACGGACCCACGCGAGGTAAGTCCCACCTATCGACCCTAATTCATCTCTCACCGGTTCGTATTCCTGCCCACGTCTTCTTTACGTGGTTCTCGAGAGTGCGATATCAAGTCCCGGGTCCATCTCGAACCTGAAACCACGCCACCAGGTCAACCCGACCTGGAGAGCGAGATCAAGGCACCTAACCAACTTGGCGACTCCACTGGGGACACGCTGCCCCATCGTTCAATCGTTCTTGTTTGCTTTTCCTTTATTTTTATTCTTGCTCACTATACACACATGTCTTCGGGGTTACTTAACCCCTTCATCCGAGTTGGGGGTTTCGTAATCCCCGTACTCATGAGTCTTCATCGGGAATAGGTTCCATGAACCTTGTGCCCGACCTTTCTCCTGAGCATCAACCCTATGTCGCGCTCCCAGGTCATCACCTGGATAAAGTCGAGGATGGACCAACAAGTCCATCACTCCCTACCTCCTTGCAATGGTGGACCTTTTACCAATGCACCTTGCATTGGTGGCACACGAGGGGGAACCTCCTAGTACCCCCTCCCAGTACATGCTTTCTCACTCTGTGAGGGATCGTCACATGGTCATTCCATCACACACACATCCTCATGGCATTGGGTCTCTTAAGGCTGGACATGCTATTGGAGCCCGAGTTGACCACCAGGTCACTGGAAGTCCTTCTACAGAGGGTGTACACGTGCCAATCCCCTCACCCGCCCAGTGCACATCTTTGCACCATGCACACACACATGGATTTAGCACTTCACTGGATTCCAAGGGTAATCACGTCAATGGGTTGGGAGAATAGTTCGCCTTTGGTCAAAGGCAAGTACCACTTGGCCATGAAGAAGGGAAATCATGGTCAAGCCCGAAAATGGGGCTGAGAGACCAAGACATTGAAAGCCCTGCTCAGAGGTAAAGAAAAAAAAGTGATTAAAGAATTCCCTCTCAAAGAAGCGAGTCATTTTCCCTCTCTCATTCCCCTTGATGTGGATGATGCTGGAAAAGCATGGCATGAGATGAACACTAGAAGGATTGCTTGGGGCATGATGAAGCCGATTATCTATGAAGATCTAAGCTTGACTCTAGGCAAAGGCGAGCCTCCAGACAAGGAAAAGAGCCAGTCTGACCGCAGTGACCCCAAGCTAGTTGAGCCATCACTCGATCAAACTCCCGAGCCCCTCTCAAGTCGGGGCACCGAGAGCAAAGCCCTCTTCGAGCAGAATGAACTCGGGGCAGCTCATATAACCAAATCAGTTTCCCCTACACTCCTGATGAGCTAGAAGGCACCGCTGAGGGGCAGTCCCGATGACTCAAGCGCGATGGAAGCCGAACCCACCGAGGTTGTTGCCCATGATCCCTTGGTGGTGGAAAGTTCGTATTATGAAGAGGTTGGTCTTCTTCCCATGATGCAAGAAAATTGTCCACCAGCTCCTCCCAAAGTCTACCACAACATCCCAGTTCCCCGAGATGAAATTGAAAAAAAACCGATACTATTGAGCTGCTTCAAAGGGCTGAAAAGCTCATTGTTGAGATCGATCTCATAAACAAGAATGGGACTTTGCCGTCACTCATCCTCTCTCATCTAGATATTCTTACCTTTGATGAGAGTTCGTCACTCTCATTCGAGGAAAGCCACTCCCCAGCACTGGATGGGATGAGTTGCACTTCACCTGCTGGCAGCCCCACGGATATGGCTCCTCCATGCCCTCAAGAAACCATGATTTCCCCGCAAAGCCAGCCGCATGCTTCCCCCATGTCATATATGTTGCATGTGCGCTCTTGACAATAATAGTACGACCTTGTCCTATGAGGAATTCACATTCCCATTTGGTGATGAAGAGCTCAGTTCTGATGGGGCCACATCTCTCGTTCTCATGCATCCAATGACTCCAACCTCTGATGAGAGTTCGTCACTCTCATTTGAGGAAAATCATTCCCTGATAGAGGACGAGATAGGCAGCAGTCCCTTCACTGACCACAACATTGATACGGTGCTTCTAGCTCCCAAAAATGCCATCATTCTTTATGAGGCCGATTACATACAACCTCCATACCTTGAAGATGTCACGGCTCCTTATGAGGCTGATCACGTGTTCGCCCCGTGTCTTGAAAAATTCTTCCCCGATGACGATCAAGTGACCTCACCATCTTGTGAGAGTTTCTGATTCTTATTAGATGATGATGATATCCAAGCCTTAAAAGATGAAGCTAACCAGAATGAAGGCTCAATGACCTTCATCAATGAGGTTGTGGAAGCAGTCGCAGTTGAGCCCATGGTCGAGAACCCCATTGAGAAAAAGGCATGTGGTGAGCGAACTCTATTGGATGGTACAGCCCCAAATGAAAGGGAAGCTTTGGGGCAACCAGCCCTAAAGCCTCCGTTATCCCTTTGCTTCCCAATGGTGAGCAACCCAATCCTCCAGTAAGAGAAGAGCTCTCAAGCATGGCTGGTGTCGAAGCTATGGTGATCAATGAAATACCAAAATACTATGGAGACGAAATTGCGCAGCTTAAGACAACATTGAAGCAGTTACAAGCTGAGATGAGGTCAAAAGATGAATCATAGAAACTTTACGCCAAGAGGTATTAGTGGCACATAAGCCTAAGCGTACCCCCTCAAGGCACCAGACCCTCTTTACCGTCCCTCAAGCACCCCATCTGATCCTCAAAACAGCACCATCAGAAGAAAGGGCACTCCCACCCTCGCCTCCCTCATTATCGGTCTCATCCCCACCGACTCAGGTTGGGAATGAAGAATTAGTGAAGGGCATGGAAGCCGAAGCATTGAAAAAGTGCAATATCCTAGTGATGGAAGAAGTGAACCACTACCAAAAGCCTTACCTAGTGTATGTTGACCAAACTCCAGTCCGCCGGGTTATCAAAGACTCGACTTCGCCAAGTTTGACGGTACTGGCTCATCGCAGCAACACATAGCCCATTTCATTGTAGCATGTGGCAATATAGCAAATAATGAGCACCTACTGTTTCAAAAATTTGTGGGAACCCTTATAGGAGCAGCATTCAAATGGTACTCTCGATTACTACCAAGGTCAATCTCATCATGGGCACAAATGGAGGAAGAGTTCCTTAGGTGCTTCTGGGATATAAAAAAAAGTGCAACTCTTTGAAATCATTGAGGTAAAACAAAAGCCACACAAGCCAGTGATCGAGTACATTGAAAGGTGGCGCAATCTGGCCACACCAATGGGTGAGCCGCAAGAGATAGAGTAGTACATCGATGGGATGCACTTAGAATTGGCTAATTATGTCACTTCATCAAGGCCCAATATATTCACTAAGATGGTTGACAAGGCAGTTCAAATTGAAGGTTTTCTCAAACACCACGGTCTAGATGCACGACCTTAAACGACATGGTCCAAACTATACGACCTTAAACTATAGTGGCGGTCTAGATGCACGATCCTAAACGGCATGGTTCGAACTATATGACCTTAAACTGTAGCGGAGGTCTAGTTACATGACCTTAAACTGCACTTTCCAAGCTATACGACCCTAAACTATAGCACACATCCTAGTGGCATGACGTTAAACTGCATAACGTATTGTCTCGCAGGCGAGACCTTAAACATGCCCTCAGGTCTCGGCGGATGACCTTAAAACACGTCAAATTGATGGTCATGGTGGCATGACCTTAAACACGCTTCCCCAAAAAAAGAGACGAGCATAGTGAAAACCCGCAAGGGCACTATGGGCAAGATTGTCAAAATAAAGGGGGTGTGGTGAAAACCCTTCGGGGCAATCACTCTCAAATGACGACCATGTTGATCCTCCCCTACGAGTCGTCACGAGTAAAAATGTCAAATATCCCTATAACAAGACGTTAAACTGCGCGACATATAGTCCATTTGTACGACTATAAACTACTTCCTACATGTTTCCATGGGGTTATCGCATGACACCCTCCTACACATCCCCTACTACATCCTTCTCCACAAGCCTCCAGTGAAAGGACACCACCCCTCCGATGTGTCCTCCCTAATCAAGGCATTTCAAAGCAAAGTGTGCATTTCAAAGCATGCACCTGCCTCTATAAAGTCATATTACACAGAGGCGTACCATTGTTTCAACTGTGAGGCTTCGAAGCACAACTTGCAACCGTCAAGGCATACTCCCGCCTCTATAAAGCCATACATTAAAGAGGTGTACCATAGTTTTGACTGTGAGGCTTCGAAACAAAACATGTAATCATCAAAGCATGCGCCCACCTCTACAAAGCCATATATCAAAGAGGTGTACCACAGTTCCAGCTATGAGGCTTCGAAGCAAAGCGTGCACTTCAAAGCATGTGCCCGCCTCTATAAAGTCATATCCCAAAGAGGTGTACTACAGTTCCAGTTGTGAGGCTTCAAAGCATAACATGCAATCGTCAAGGCATGCGACCACCTCTACAACGCCATATCACAAAGAGGTGTACCATAGATTCGACTATATCCTTACACTTGAAAAGGCACTTTCGCAACCCATTGTACCCATTCTATGCATTACCATTACCTCAAGATTCTCCTGACCTCCATTTTCCCCCAGTAGGAGTTACACTTGTGCCGCTACCCGTCCTCCCCAGTAGAGTTAAGTGTATGCCAAAAGGGTCATGCATACCCCCTCAATCTCTTGTGGGTCTGTTTTGTACCACCATCCTTAGTAGGAGTCACATCCCCACTACAACCTTCTCTTCACAAGGAGTTAGCGTCATACTTATCTTTTCAACCCCTAGTGGGGTTGCATCTGTGCTCTGGCCTGTCATTCTCAGCAGGGTTACATGCGTACCATTACTCATCATCCCTAGGGAGTCATACTTACCCTTTTAATTCCCCGTGAAGTCCGCTTCCGCTTGCCACTCCTTGTAGGGCGACCGTCTTCATCTAAATCTCTCTGCTTGTGTATAGCCTCAACTATCTTTATCCCCAGGGAGTCAGATTGTTATCCATAGGCCCATGCCCCATGCAGCTTCACCTATATGGCGACCCACACAGTGGTCCATGCTGCATAACCTTAAACTGTACAGTCATGGTCCATGCTGCATGACCTTAAACTGCACAGCCGTGGTCCGTGCTGCATGACCTTAAACTACACAGCCATGGTCCATGCTGCATGACCTTAAACTACACAGTCATGGTCCATGACGCATGATTAAAAACTGCACAGCCGTGGTCTAGATGCACG